CCCAAACTCGAGACATGGCGAACAGCACGTTTATTTATTTCTTCAATTACTTTATTATGAAACGTCAAACTAATATATTTGTTTGGTGGAGCAAGCCGGAAATATTTATGTCGTTCTCTTTAGTAGGGGATGCATAAGCAGCATGATTACTGGCGTAGTTACCGGGTTTTCAGACACAGGAAAGGATTTTAGATAAAAATGATTGACACAAGTAGTAAATGAACAATGGAATAAGAAAAGAATAAGACACAGAAACAGCTTCTGATCCTGTAAAGTTTTACGCTTTCAGACCAGTGTGTCTAATTCCATGAAATAATGCTTTGCCAAAAGTTGAAACAGTCACGTTTACGTCAGATCAATCTGTAAAACTCAATAACACAATGTTTGACAAACATTTCAACCGTCTCGTTTACGTCAAATTAGTCTGTAAAACTCAACAAAAAAATGTTTGACAAACATCTGAACAGTCACGTTTACGTCAGATTAGTCTGTAAAATTCAATCAAACATTGTTTGATAAACATTTGAACTATCATGTCCGCGTGTGATATTTCTACTGTACACCGCTTATCTCACACCCACGTAAACTCGAAAGTTTAATCTACATCGTAGCACGTAGTGGAAATTTGTTTGTGTGCAAAAATTTCAACCTAAAACTTCCAGAAATAGTTTGAATTCTTGCTTTGGAATTCTTCAGTTGCGATAAGCACGCGCGTAACTATGTTAACTATCAAAAATTATGATGACTGATTATAAATGAGTGGAAAGTTAAATTACTTTGGAGGCATTCAAATTTCTTGTGTAACGGACGAGAATCTCGAATAGGCTTTAATTATTTGAAAAACTTCTCATGTATTTCCTGCACCATAGCAAATATATCATACCACTCACTAATGTCCTGTAATACGGAACCTGATCAAGGTAATGATTTAAAAAAATACTCGATTCATTGAAAGCTTTCGGAAAGTGTATATTTCGCGATTCAAACTTGTTTGGTATTTTGGTCCATAAATGCCACTACAACGCAAATGAGTCCACAAAACTTGAAACAGCAGAAATTTCCACTTTCTGCAATAAATGAACCATTGTAATTAAAACGAGCATGAACAAGTCAATTGAAGGATAATCTCTTGAGAAGACGAAACTAAAAAGCTTGTCTGGACTCCTATCCAAAGCAACCCTATATTTTTTATGAAGCAAATCACCGTAATCATGACGATATTTCAGGGCTTAGATGACTGAGAACATTTAAGCGATAATTATTGAAGAGATTAGAGCACAACCTCTTCGGCGGGGCAACCCAAAAATCTTAATTCATTTGTCTATAATAACAGATTTCGACCATAAATTGTTTAAGAAGCTTAAAAATTACTCTTCGCTATGCGTGATCTCAGAGTCAAGCTCACAGAAGTTACTGGACTATGTAAAGATGTTATCAGGAACCCCGCAAAAACTCTTTCCAATTTGCAATGTAAAATATAACGCGACTAATCTGGCTCTCAGTAACCTTGATAATGCACTATACTAACACAATGCTGAGTGAATAACAAATCATGAGGGCTTTTATTGTTTCGCTCAGAATGATGGCGTATCTAGGATTTAATTTTGCTCGAAAAAGGGCACGTAGCTCTTTACCCAATTTGTTTCAAAAATTTTTCATTGCCTTTCGTGAATCACTTGCCATACTTTTAGATCAGTTTGGTTTGTTTTCCAGTTGAAATTAAGTCTGTGGCCAGTGCAAACAACTGAATTAAAGAATATCGTGAAATGAATTTCTACGAGCCCTCAACGCGCAGTATGAGTAGCTTTTCATGTGAGCATTTTTCGATTTTCTGCCCTCACGTATTTATCTCTCCAGGGTCATAAAACTGCATCAGCTACCAGAATCACGTGATCGCGTCCTAATTGTATGATACATGAAAGATATTTGTTTATAAAAAAGAAAAGTGGCATAAGTTTACATTACAAGCTTTCCCCTTCTTATTACGATATTTTCAGAGATAGCTGCGAATGAAATGAAATTTCCGCAGACATAAGACTCATTATACCCTTTTATTCCTAGTTTATCTAGACCGTAATATTTGTGAACACGAAAAGCTAACAGTTACGTAGTGATCTCGAGCAGTCGACATGCTGAATTCAAAGTAGATGAAAAGATACTGACTTTTTACTAAAGTTTTCACCAATTTCTACTCTAATCTAAGTAAAACTGGAACACATGAATATAATTTTCTAAGACCTCGTAGGGGTAAGTAACGGTAGAAAAAAAACACCAAAAAAAAACAGGTCCGCGAGTAATTTTATCTTTGCACCATTCTTGCTCTATCTATTATCAATGACGCTGTGAACTCATTTAAAAAAACATTAAATTTAACTTCTGGAAAATGATCGAAATGCCCATCGCGAGGAAAAAAGTATTTGTTGATGGACTTTGTGCGCATGAGGAAAAGCGATCAAAAGTCAAAGTATCACAAATTATTTTCTCGACTCAGTTAATGAAATGGGTCATAAAATAGACGAATATATGCGTTTTTGGCTCTGGCCGTATTTAAATCAAAATACCATGAAATTATCCTCTCATCCCACTTCAACATATTTTTAGAGAAAGCTTCGGAAAAAATGAAAATGCCGGTGCCACCAGTATCGTCGCCATCTTAAATTTATATATTTTTTAATCCATCCAAGACTTTACAAAGCAATTGAGATAGGATTTCAGTACCTGGAATTCTTTGAATAAACTCAATATATTAACTTTCGTGGATAAAATTTCGTAACTTGTCTCATTTACGCCATTTTTGAGGAGCCCGAGTTAACTATTGAGCAATAATGGCATAACTGGCTGGGTTGCGAAAATCGAAGGGGATGAATAGGTAATTATATTCTGGAGTTTGACGCTGAATGCATCGTATATAATATAGTTATACTTCTTGCTCATTTTTGTTGCTTTTCTGGTTGTAATTTTTGCATGGTCCATTGTCCACCCCTCCAATTCGACTCAAAAACCGTCATTTATAAACACAGTCAGACTGCGTGGAAGAAAACAAAAAGTTTGACAATAGTATATAGAGGAGCAGTTCTCCTTCTGCAAAGATTCCAGATAAAACTGGGATATACACAGTGTTAGCTATGGACATGTGTGGATTGACGAAAGGAGTAAATAGCTGGAGAAACCAGGTTTAACTCCTTCAAAAGATGAACGAGAAGCAACCACAAACTTACCCCAAATGAAACGCTACGCCCGCAAGGGTTTTTTTTTTTTATCGTGGTCGTTTCGCCATCTCTGATTTCTCTACCATGCTGTGAACACATTTGTGAAAAACATTTATTCGACTTCTGAAACAAACATCGGAATTCCCATTATAAAAAAAAGGACTACGGAATTTGAGCACACAAGGAAAAACGATCTAATAGAACGGCGAGGAAGACTTTTTTTGAAAAGTCAAAATGTCAAAAATAATCTTCTTTAGTTGGCGACATCGGTCGGTACAGAGACCAAATCTGTGAAAGCTAGTCTCGAACACCATAATCGGCCACCCTTTTGATTTTTCATCTAAATAACAATTGTAGACGCGTACTCAGTTGAGCTAAGTTTTATATGAAATGATATTATACTTTAATCAGAAAATTACAATCATAGTTATTATCATCAGGTACATTTGTATGGCATAGTTTGTATGGACATGTGTGGCTCAAGTTTACTACATTCAGTCTAGTGTTTGAAATTATCAAATATTTTATAAATTTCGTCATTTTGAGGAGATTTTCTATATTTTAAACAATTCTCTGTACAAAATTTTATTCAGTCAAAGCATATGGTTGATATGGACACCTACGCTTTATGCAATTAGGGCCTTCATGCGACGTCGCGAATCCTCCCACACCTTATTAATCTCCAAGAAGTGTTCTAGAAAGTTAAGAACTCAGGAATTAATGGGTCAAATCCGAAAAATTTTTCGTGCTCATTTACTACCATTTTTTTTTTAAGCAAAAGGCGATTTCGTAACATGCAATCCTGTTTGTTCTAGGAATCTGTCTGAGATCACGAAATTAGCGTGGAAGGATTTTTTTTCTGTCTTCTTAACACGAATCACACAGGGATTTCGGTAATTTTAACTCTTTGACATTATTTCGAAATTCGTAGGCCTACAGACCAGTCGCATACTCGAGTTGCGTACTCTAAACATTTTCCTCTTCAGCTGAACAAACTGCGAATTTTTGCTTGAGGAAGAATGTTCGGCAAAATATAAACAAAGAAAGAAGTTACTTCAGGGATGAATTGTTGTCATTTGAGCAACAAACGTCTAGAATGGTAATTTTCCCGAACCTAAACTTACAGCTGTAGTGAATGCTTAAGACTTAATTGGTTTGAAATTCGTTTGGTCATAGCTGAAACATGCTGCCGCCATTTTAAATTTCCTTCGGATTCCATTGTTGCTTGGTGTCGCGACGATTCTCCTCCTTTGATTTTACTCAATGTATTGACGCGTTCACCCGTTATCTGAGTTTGTATTTCTTGCTGATGTCCTCTTTGCTGTTGGGCGTATAATTTTCGAATCTTGGTATCCGAAGGTTGTAGCCTGACCTGCTGTTGGATCTCCTCTCTAGTGTTAAGGCAAGAGCGACTATTTTCACGCGTCATTATCGTGTTTTTGGTAGGACAATTAATTTCAATTCGACTTTTCCCCGTCTCTTTCAAGGTTTCTTCAGAATGAAATTACATAAGAAAAAAAATTAAAATCTTTTATACGAGCTCTATCTCAATGGAAAAAATGGATTTAGCTATATCTAATGTCATAACTGATCCACAAGCTGAGAAAACAGAAAGGAACACATAAAACTGTATATCAATATCTTTTCATTCACGTTCAAGTCTAAATTGATCTCATGAAAAATGCATTGCAAAACGTGTGGTAAATCACGTCTGAATTTGGAATTTAGACAGATCTCTTACCTACTCAAAAACGTATTTTTGTCAGTGTACACTTAGACAAGAGAAAACAAAATTGCGTTATTAGGCTACCTACGCAAAGTTGAAAAACAATGATGTGGCATTCTGTCATGAGGGCACTCAAGCCCTGTATTCCAAATACTCAACTGAGTCAGTTACAATCAAGAAATAACATTCCAACATGACTCTGAAATGGCACGTGCTATTCCCTTCGCTTAATACGAGAAGCAGCTAAAAAAAGCTGTCCTAGAATGCCAATGCAATAAAGGCGCGTAAAAAAAAAAGAAAAAAAAAAGAAGACATTGACAAAGCGATTCGTGATTGAGGCGGATTTGGAAAAAATTGCCTCTCCAGCATTTGCCCTTGGTGTCTATAGGTAAAATAAGCTTAGTTCAGCTGACTCTATTCATGATAACGCCGTTCAAAAGTTTCCGAACAAAGATGTCTGGTTGACATTCGACTCTGGGAAAAATAAAAGGGATTATATGACCTCCTTCCCGAAATGAAATTCACAAGAAGATGTGAAACTCTTTCCTGTTCCTCCAGGGTGCAGATAAACTAATGTGTTCTTTGAATTTCCGTGAAAGCAACGTAAAGTAAGAAGACATTGACTAAGTGAATCTTGATTGAAGGGGATTTGGAAAAATAGCGTTTGGAGCATTTGGCCTTCATATCTACAGGTCAAGCAAGCTTTGGATACCTGGGTCCATCCTGGCTGATGCAGAAGAAATATTGTCTTTGAAAAATTATTTATATTTACTCATTGGCTCATCAAGGTACCCTTAACATTTTGGCTACTGTTATCCCCAAATTCGATCATCAAATTCCCGTTCAAACCCTTCAAATGTTCTTCATTGCGTAACGAAGAACCTCTTTCCGTACTTGATCTTTGCGTAGCCATTCTTGTTGCTAATGCGTCATACACACATGCCCCTAAGGCTAAGAGCTTGCATAAACATTCATGTTGCCTATAAACGCAGGAATGTCTAAGCACTTATTCAGTGTAAGAAGGGGCACGTAAACCCTTTATACCAAGCTGCTTATACAGTGGGAAAGCTTCCCTTTGATTTCAAGATATCAAATCAGTCAATTCATCAAAGTATACCGACTAAAGTACTAAGTTCCTGTAACGGATCTTCCGCTTTGATTACAAAATAAAAGGTATCGGTTTAGAGCTTTTTAAAATAAATATTAGGAAAAGCACATGATATTTTGACGTAAACGATTTTTCAAGTGCGACATAGCAATTAGTTCAAGTCGTAAGAAGGCTCTTTCGGCACGCAGTAGCTTATAGTCATACGGCTAGTCTCCCTGTAGCTTAATCCGTAAGACAAACAGTGGATAATTTATCAGGATTATAAACACTACATATAAAGCTCATTGCATATTGCTAAAGAAACTGTTTAAATAGGATGAAAATAATTATTTAATTCACGGCTTTTGATGAAGTTTTACTTGCCTTTTCAGTTACAGTTTGATTTAACACGATACGGGAGGTCTGATAACTGGGTCTAGCAATTAAAAAGGCGATTTTTTCAGGCTGTGTTTGTCCTTTCATGAGGCTTAAAAGAGGGGTACCACTTGCTTATGTTTGGTAAACCTTTGTCAAGTCAGTAAGTAAAAACGCTCTTGACAAGGTCTTCGTCCACCTGCATACGTGTCAAGAAGTGGTGCGTGATAAACTCCGCTTAAGAATTTGTTCTTTCCACGTCGTCACGAAAACGCTGAAAGTCTCATCATGCATCAAAATTCTGATACGTGTTTCCGGTGTTTAAAGTTTGACCAAGTGGGCAAATAGTAATAGTTGTTATTGTGGTTAAAATAAACAGCATGAGCCGTTTGAAAATCCATTCACTCTAAGAGACATGCCGCTTACGAGTCAACACGTCACATTGGAAATAGACCTCCCACTAAATTCTTCAGTAAATATCTTGCATGCTACTTGATACCGCTCATCCTGCGCTGGCGACAATTGAGAAGCTTGTCAAATTCAATCCTTTTACCTGGTGCCATTTTTAGAATGTCGGGATGTCATGATAAGTTATCTCTTTGACGATGGAAAGGTACTTGGGTCAGCGATTCATTATCCTCGCGCAGTTCGCTTAAGGGTGTTTTGCCGCGCTCGCGAAAATATTCCCGAAGACTAGGCAAAAGGAATCGTGTTCCACAAAAACATCGCTACGCAACCTTCTCCGTCCAAAGTATATTTTTGAGGAAAGGTTGTTTAGTTAAAAGTTGCAGTCTGCTGATGGCAAGGTATATACGCCCCGGCAGAGTCCACCCTGCCAGCAGAGCTTGGACTGTTGAAGAGACAAAAATTCCACATCGACCTAACTCGGCGATCTCCCATCGAAGAGAATCCTTCCCAAGAAATTTGATCGTAAATCCAGCCTACAAACAACCACATTACGATCCGTTAGATTCTGCTACAGAAGAGGACATGGTGCCGACTGTGATGGAAGCACCACAAAATAACACCGTTCCTCGCCGGGTAACTAAACGAGAGAACATAAACTTGGTACGGCAAACCGAATGGGACGTAAAAGGCACGAAGACAGAGAGTCTTGTCCAAAGAAACACGCTTAGTAAACCAGTCAGTGTCCTGTTAGGATTAGTGTGTTTCACATCATGTTTGTCTCTCATTTTGACCCTTCTCATCCTCTCTGGCTCGATTGAGGCAGGAAGATGTTCTTGCGGCGACAATGAAGGTAAGTTGCAGCAGTAACTTTTTGAATTTCTTAATTGGGTATCAAAATGATTCAAATGAATAATGCTATCAAGCGAGCATTTTTTGGTAAACCTTTTCTAGCTTACTTTTCACCCTGTATTAAAGTTTCCGCGTAACTAAGAAAGGTTTCCCCCCCTCACTGTGAACTCGGAAACTACAGATGCAGACAGGACATCCTCTTTGATTTGAGACAAAATAACGGAAGTTGCCACCACTGTTCAGCTCTAACACTGAACATACCTTTTGAATTGCACTAGTATCTCAGACACGCAAAAAAAGGGGCAAGGCATTTCCGACACAGATAATAACTGTAACCAACGAAGTAGGGCTAACCACGATAATCACAAAGCTTCAGTGAAATTTTCAGTTCTATAAACGCCCACAGCCGCAAAAATACCTGCATGCGTTTACTGTGCACTGCACTTTATTTTTTCCTCTGATTTCCAACCAACGAAGTAGGCCTATCCGCGATAAACACAAAGCTTCAGCGAAATTTTCGGTTTTGTAAACGCCCACAGCAGCAAAAGTACCTCTGCATGTGTTTAATGTACTCTGCACTTTATTTTTTCCTCTGATTTCCTTGCTATTAGTTTGATAACCAATGAAAGTATAGAATATCGCAACATAATGTAAAACGCAGCACCAGTCTTGAAATGTTCCGGTGCCCTATTTACTCCCTTGCGGCAATGGAAACAGCTCAGGGAACATCTCTCACTTTCTTGAACTGTGGACTATTTCTTGAAAGCCGCACAAAGCACCCAGGGGTGTCCGGGATTAGAGGATTTTAGCGAAGAAATAAAATTAAATCCCTGCGCTCAATTTAAGAAAGCCAGAGTTAAGTATGGGTGAAGTGTAGTCATATAGGATGAGATCTTTGGCAGGTTTATAATAAAGGGATTTTTATACAGGTTAACAGGTCCAGTGACCGCTTTCCTAGCGGCGTTTGCATTTAGATTCCATCAGCCTAGTTTATCTTGATGGCAAGTAACCATCTGCCTCGATCAACTTAATCAGAGTTAACCATGTGAATGTAATTGCACCCTTTCGGCAATTGCTTGTTTTTTTGTCTTGATTGAAAACAAATAATAGCAATCCTTATGAGGGTATCTCGAGGTGCCAGGTACAACTAGAGGCTTAAAATAAATCTCCTTAGAGGTAGCGTCTGTAAAAATGGGGATATAATTCACTGCGTTGTTATCTCTACAAGGGAAATCAATTGCGAGTGTATGGAATCACTTGTTTAGGTCCAAGGACAAAGAGGCAGTTTTCGTTTATTCAACAGCAGTTTGAGAAAAATCGCTTAATGTTACCATTGCCTAACCGTCAATGAACAGTAAATGCATGATAAAGATTCCCAGTTGCGTACTTTCCCATGTTAACCATAAGACCACAGTGGCTAAATAAACCTCATGAATCATGTTCAAAACACGTCAAATCACATTTTTCCCTCATTATTGTATCACGTGAAATATTTGTAATTGCAGAACGTGAAATTAAAGGAAGCTAGAAGACAGATATTTAGCCTCTGGGTAAAATCAATCTCCTTGAGAATTCGTTTCCCTCATGCCTTGACGACTCAACTTGTGACCTTTCTTGAACAGGAATCGGTGTTAAGTTTCTGAATTATTCTGACCCTTGGGGCACTCTTTCCGTCAGTGGGAGCGCAAAGCTAGAAGATGTTTAAAATCTAAACAGTTTAAGTCAATGAGACATCGCAGGTGTATTTGTATGATAAACTCTTATATGGGGTAAGTGTCGGTGAATAAACATTGGAATTGATATTTAATTGCGATTTTAAGATAAAGGTGATCTGACCGGTTCGAAAGATTTGTAAGCAATATGGAAGGTTCTAGGACACAATTAATCCTGAAGTTTTTTATTTTATTTTTTTAATTCTAATGCTTTGGTGTCATCGTCCATTAAAAAATGTGGTCATCACATCAGAATTATAATGAAAAAAGGATGTAGTCCTGGGCATATTGCCAAAAATGACCGACTGTAGACTACCTTCTGAACTTTTCAAACAGAAGTTATTTAAATCTTCAGTCGTTGTAAACCACATAACGGCTGATTTTAAAACCGTTTGCTCCCCTTAAGGTCTCAACGACTTGTTGCAAAGTCGATTTGGATCAAATTGAATTCTGCAAAACTGTAGAGGACAAAAGAAAGATAATCGCCGAAAACAATTTGTCACTGGAAACTAATATTCCTGAGGTCATTTAAAAATACTGTAGAGCAAATGAATACCCATTATTTAGTAGTAGGCAAAACATTAGATTGCGATTTTCAGTCGGTCTAGTTGTTAAAGATAAGAATGAATAATCATAAAACACCAGATGGGCTTGTCCATGGAAAAGTGCTTATGGACATGAGGTCAAACATATCCAAAGACTGATCGAGGCCCTAAAGTTACGGTGGTATATAGTCGGTTTAACTCTTATTGGCCCAGTTACAATTCCATACATTTATTCAAACCCGTCTGCATGCAAAAAGTATTGACGATTGACAAGAAAGAGGTGACTTCACAAAGCAAATTAATTTGGAGGACCCAAAGAATAAAACCACTTCTGTTAACGTGTTCTAATTTGAAGAGTTTTTAAATTTAATATTTTTCATAATCTTATTGTACTTTTTTTTTTCATCTATCTATTGTTTTATATGCGCTTATTGGCTTTGGTTAAAACGGTTAAGAACAATCAAATTATTTTTTCTGTCAAGACAGCTGATTATGAAATATTGAAGAGAAAAAATTCGCCATCTTTTAGAAGTAACTGCCTGATTTTCTCGCTGTACTTTCTTACCATTTAGAGCTTGGCAAAAAAAGCGCCATGGAGGCAAATGATGTACAGTCGGAGAAGTTATCTACAAATATATCTTCGCTGAACCAACAAATGGTGATGCCTTTATACATTGATATTTTCATTAAAGATGGTAATAGTTGGGTTCTATACTAAAGCATTTTTCTCGCTAATATTGACCATAATATTATTATACCATGCAATTAACCGTGGGCAAGAGTTACGAAATCGAGTGTAATACCATTTTTGAAGTTAAGCGCTTTACAATTGCGTGTCGTCAAACTAGTAGGTGTAGTGATCACAACGAGAATGAATATATAACAAGGGCGCAGTGAAATTCAGGTTAGTTCCTGAATAGCTGAGTGTATATTTATGCTGGTTACGATTAGCCAACACAGTCACACGTTATATCCGAATCTCGATTGAAAATCTTACCACAATGGTTATAGACTCGAGTTCGTGTGCACAAGTAGGTCGTTTAGACCGTTTAAATGCCCTATCGTCTCGGATAAGAAAGTAACTCGTAATTCAGGAAAAATGAAATCTTATCTCACCTCCAATTCATTTAATGCAGGGGCCATTTTCAGAGTTTTTTTGTCGTCTGACAATGATCTACATAGCTATAGCTGTAGTAGGTGTGGTGGAGGGGTTCCAAAACCTGAAAAAAATCCCTTTTTTAGCCAATTGCAATGAAATCAGTCTGATGTACTTGCTGTTCATTTCCAAAGGCGAAGATGGCAGACGAAAATAAAGGACAGCGATCAGAGGTAGGAAAAAAAAAGTTTCATGTTAGATATAATACATGTAAACTATATTAGACTGCAGAGTCATAATGTTTAATATTACTTTACAGTTTCTCCAGAGAATTCAAACCTTGGAGAAGATGCTGTTGGGACACAATGCTACCAAACTACACGAGGAAGTCTCCTCTCAGGTAATCAAAAATTAAAGAAATAAGAAATTTAGGGTGCAAGGTAAAAGAGCTAGCGAGTGAAATATGTGGACCTTAACCAAGTACTGAAAAATGTTCGACCACGGCACTCTGCCGCTGCTGTCATTTGTCTTTTCTTGCTTTTGTTGTCGTTGTTCGTTTTGTTTTCTTTTCAGTTTTTCTGTTTTATGTTATTTGCTAATAGTGATGATTATATAAACTAAATAGTCAGAGTCCATGCTTACTGCGTCAGCATATATGCATATCTAGTAGACACTTAGAACCTTATTTCCTTTTAACATGGTGATTTGGCAAGTGTCCCATTAAAATATCAACTATCTTAGTGTCTCATGCAGAGCTGTTTTTTACCTCCTGACGTTAGAATAAAAGTATTAAACATCTTACAAAGCGCCTGGACTCTATTCAAGCTCAAACTGTTGGACACGTTGCTGTGTTGGAAGATTTAAATTCCTCTACAACAACTAATATGATGGAGTTTAAACAAGTCTGGACTGTGGTTAATACTACAAAACAAGAAAAAG